GCCACCTTAGGTGTACATGGCTGGCGCCTTAGCTGGTTGAACTATAGGCGCCGAGCCAGAATTGTTTCTTTATCTCAGTGTATATATTTTTTCTGGAGTGGGGAAGGTTGTCCCAGATTCTCAAGGAGCGTGGCCCCAATCTCTAAGAAGACCTTTCCCAGCTACTGCAATTCATGGATTCACACCCTATCCTTAACTCTGATGCCATCTCACATACCAGAGGTCCCTTGCTGCTGATCAATCTTGTCCCGGAGGGATTCCCACGAGATCACTTCCATTCCTAGCTCTGATCTCCAGTCCTAGAGCTGGACTGTTTCCAGGCTTGTTGGCTGTGACCTTGAGCAAGTTGGCTTGTGGTCATTCTCTTTTTCTCTCTCCCTTCCCCCCTACTCCGCCCCCTTGGTAGAATACAGTGGCATCATAACTCACAGCAACTTCAAACTCCTGGGTTCAAGTGATCCTCGTGCCTCAACCTCCTGAGTATCTGGGACTACTGGTGCCTGCTGAAGGCTGAATAGTTTTTCTATTTTTAGTAGAGATGTGGTCTTGCTCTTGCTCTGGCTGGTCTGGAATTCCTAAGCTTAGACAATCCACACACCTCTGCCTCCTGGAGTGCTGGGATTACAGACATGAGCCACCTAGACTGGCCATGCTTGTCATTTCTGAGCCCCAGTTCCCTCATCTTTATTATTATTTTTTATTTTCTATATTTTTTTGAGACAAGAGTCTTTGTCACCCTGGGTAGAGTGCTGTAGTGTCCTAGCTCACAGCAACCTCAAACTCCTGGGCTTAAGCAATTCTTTTGCCTCAGCCTCCCAAGTAGCTGGGACTACAGGAGTTCCTAGCACTATTTTTAGAGATGAAGTCTCTCTCTGGCTTAGGCTGTTCTTGAACCTGTGAACTCAGGCAATCCACCCTCCTGGGCCTCCCAAGTGCTGGGATTACAGGCGTGAACCATTGGGCACCTGGTCCTAGTTCCCTCATCTTTAAAATAATAGGGTAATTCTAACCTAAAATGGTTGTATGGTTGTGAGGACTAAATAAAATAATTTGTGGCCTATAGTAAACGTTCAGTAGGTGGAGGCTGTTTCCATTTTCCAGCCAGTGCTACCCCTCCTCTCCTATTGCTGAGAGCCTCAGCCACCTCAGCAAACAGAGAATGGATTCTGCAGGGTTCCAAGAGCGGATTAGTTTTGGGTGTCACTTAATCCAAGAGGGCCTTCCGCAATCTGAACCTTTATAGCAGCCAAACTGATAAAAACCTGCTTAAGAGGCCTCCTTCCCAAACGCTGAAGGATGGAGTGGGTAGTCGGAGCTAAGCTGTTGCTGCTGTTGTGGGTGACTGGCTGCCAACATGCGCAGGCAGACGCCCCAAGCGGTTATATGTCGGTTATCGAAGTGACTAACGGGGGTACCTGGGGAGACTGGGCCTGGCCTGAGATGTGTCCTATTGGATTTTTCGCCAGTGGGTTTTCGCTAAAGGTATGGACTCAGACGTACGTCCTGGAGCGGATAGATATGCGGGGCTAGGGAGCCCAAGGATTCCCCTGACTCCTCTTCGTTCCTCTCCTCCTCATCCAGGTGGAACGCCCCCAAGGCATTCCTGGCGACGACACGGCTCTGAACGGGATTCGGCTGCACTGCGCGCGCGGGGATGCCCAGCTCAACACACATGTGGTGGAGTCCCAGTCTGGAAGGTGGGCGAGGGGCAGGGGTCCAGGATCCTCTACGGCAGACACGTCCCCTCCTGGCAGACAGGCTCTTCCACAGCCACAGGGCAGTAATACAGGAGTGTGTGTGTGGGGGCGCTCTGGGGAACTGGGTGGATGGAAGTCCCTTCCTCTGCACCTCCGCAGCATCCAGTGGCTACGTTCAGCCCGCGTAGTCCTGTAGCGACTGGTTTGGAGAGGCCCTAGATCTGGATCTGTCTGGAGCTCCAGATTAGGAGCTCCCCCGCCTTTTTTCTGTAGATGGGGAGAGTGGAGTGAGCCGCTGTGGTGTCCTGGCGGCGGCTTCCTAGTGGCCTTCTCGCTTCGCGTGGAGGCACCCACGGTCCCCGGGGACAACACAGCTGCCAACAACGTGCGCTTCCGCTGCTCAGATGGCACCGAACTGGAGGGTCCTGGGCTGAGCTGGGGAGAGTTTGGAGACTGGAGCGACCCATGTGCCAAAGGCTCTTGCGGCCTGCAGACCAAGATTGAGCGACCTAGAGGTCTCCGCGATGACACAGCGCTGAACGACGTGCGCTTATTCTGCTGCCGCAGTTGACACCGCAGCCGACTCTCCCCAACTTCTCCCAGACCTAAAGGCTAGTCCTACCTTCCGTGATTAAAGCTTCTCTGTCTTGGCCTTGGTCTTGCCTGTTTTAGGGGATGGGAAACTGCGTCTCCTTTACCCCTTCTATCTAAAATTGGGCCAGGACTACTTTCGGATTTGATCTCAGGGGTCCATGGGAGACTGCTGAAAGTCACAGACTTGTAGTCCAAAAAAAAGACACGTAAACACGTAGTTTTTCAGACAGGTGAAGGAAGTCTCTGGCCTTCTGAGCGCAGCAGATACTCTACTCCCATCAGGAGCTCAGTTGTCTCCTTTCTGAACCACCAGTAACCTTGGATTAAGATAATTCTACTAAATTAGGATGTGACAAAGCTTTAAGGCTTTGTTTTATAGAGTTTAAGAGGCTAAAGTGTCTTTTTCTTTCTTTCTTTCTTTTTTTTTTTTTTTTGAGACAGAGCCTCAAGCTGTCCCCCTGGGTAGAGTGCTGTGGCATCGCAGCTCACAGCAACCTCCAACTCCTGGGCTCAAGTGAGTCTCCTGCCTCAGCCTCCCAAGTAGCTGGGACCACAGGCGCCCCCACAACGCCTGGCTATTTTTTTTGTTTGTTTGTTTGCAGCCCTCATTGTTGTTTGGCGGGCTTGGGCTGGATTTGAACCTGCCACCTTAGGTGTATGTGGCTGGCACCTTAGCCTAAAGTGTCTTTTTCAAAAATTTCCTTATTTTCTCTTACAAAATCCAGACAGTGGCTTTTCTAAACACTGATTCCCATTTAGTACCTTTGTCTTTACTGTTTTCTCTGCCCAGTGTAGATGCCCCAGGTATCCAGAGGGTTAGCAAACCCGCTAGATGTCAGCTACAATTTCACTCTCTCAGACTTGACCTATCATAAAAAAAGTCCCTTTATTAGTCAACATCTATCCCATCCTCAACATTTTTGCTTTTTGTGTGTATGAGTGTTTTAATTTTTTGTTTTTCCTTTTTAAAAAAATTTTTTGAGACAGGGTTTTGTTCTGTCCCTGGGGTTAAAGTGTAGTGGCATCATCAAAGTTCACTGCAACCTCAAACTCCTGGGCTTCCAGGGTCCTCCTGCCTCAGACTCCAAAGTAGGTGGGACTACAGACGTGCTACTTACTACCCACAGCTGCTAACTTTTCTATTTGTTGTAGAGGGCAGGGTCCCACTCTTGCTCACTATGTTGCCAGGCTCATCTCCAAACTCTGGGCTACCCCAGCCTCTCAAAGTGCTAGAATTACAGGTAAGCAACCACATCCTGCCTGGTTCATTTCTTAAGGAGACAGGGTTTCACTCTGCTGCCCAGGCTGGAGTGCAGTAGCTTAATCAGAGCTCACTGCAGCCTCAAACTATTGGGCTCAAGCAATCCTTTTTTTTGAGACAGAGTCTTACTTTGTTGCCCTCGGTAGAGTGCCATGGTGTCACAGCTAACAGCAACCTCCAACTCCTGGGCTCAGGCGATTCTCTTACCTCAGCCTCCTGAGTAGCTGGGACTACAGGAGCCCACCACAACGCCTGGCTATTTTTTGTTGCCTGGCTATTTTTTGTTGCAGTTTGGCTGGGGCTGGGTTCGAACTTGCCACCCTTGGTATGTGGGGCCAGCACCCTACCCACTGAGCCATAGGCACCACCCTTTTTTTTTTCTTTTTTGACATCAAGTCTCACGTTGGTGCCCTTGGTAGAGTGTCATGGTGTCACAACTCACAGTAACCACAAACTCTTGGGCTCAAGCGATTCATTTGCCTCAGCCTCCCAAGTAGCTGGGACTATGGGCACCCACCACAATACCTGGCTATTTTTAGAGATAGGGAGTCTTGCTCTGGCTCAGGCTGGTCTCAATCCCTTGAGGTCAGGCAGTCCACTTACCTCAGCCTCACAGAATGCTAGGATTATAGGAGTGAGCCACCACACCTGGCTCAAGCAATCCTCTTGCCTCAAGCCTCCGGAGACAGGCACAGGCTGTTTTATTTATCCTAGTCCGTCTACATTGCCCAAGATGGTATTAAACTCCTGGCTTTGAGAGATCCTCCTGTCTTGGCCATTCAATTGCTGGAATTACAGGCTGAGTCACCATACCTAGCCTACCAATGCATTTTTAAAAAGTGCTTATTACCAATTAAAATAATCTTTTGCCTCTTTTAAAAGTTGCCCATCATTAGGCCTGGCATGGTGGCTCATGCCTGTAACCCTGGCCCTCCAGGAGGATCACCTGAGCTCAGGAGTTTGAGCTCAGCCTCACCTAAGATAACCTCTTACTAAAAATAGAAAAAATGGCCAGTGTCCTGCCTGGAGCCTGTAGTTCCAGCTACTCAGGAGGTCATGGCAGGAGGATTATTTGAGCCCAGGAGTCTGAGGTTGCTGTGAGCTAGGATGACACCATGGAACTCTAGGGTGGGCAACAGAGTGAGACTCTCCAAATAAATAAATAAATAAATAATTTCCCATCTTTCGCTCCTGGAATGTTAAGTTCTTTGAGAACCCAGAACTCTCTATCTTGTTTCCCAGTTGTATTTCCAGTGCAAGCTCATAGCTTAATATCTATCTAATAGGATAATTATAAGCAGGGTACAGGGACCCCAAAGACAAGAGCCCCAGGCTTGGGCATATCTAGAAGCCCTTGCATACTCTCCCTTGCATAGGGCACAATCTGAGGCAGGGAAGAGAGCTCAAAGAATTTTATTCCAGAGAGCCAGGTCATAGGAGCAACAAGTGGGTGTCCACAAACAAGCGAGCAGGTGCAATCTGGTGGTCAATGGAACCTCAGTGAGGGGTGCCCTGAGGAAAAGAGAAAGTGAGGATGCAGCCAGGAGCAAACAGGTTCCTTCTACAACTCCACCGCACACCATCCCACCTCCTTCCTTCCGCAGTCGCCACAGAAGACACCAATGGTCGCGTTCACCAGCTGTATCCCGCACAGCACGATCTCTAGGCAGGAGGCGGCCACCAGCACCGAGAAGAGCGTTACATTCCAGGGGACCACGTGAGGTGGCTCCTTACACAAATCCCACTGAGTACGGTTGAGCAAGTAAGCACCTCTGTGGGTGGGGCAGGGTCACGTGAGAGGTGGTCTCCGATATGGCCCACCCTCCACCCCAGGCACCATCGGGGCATTTGCAAACGGCTCAGCTGGCCCACGTGGAGGGAGTTCCCTCGAAGCTGAGACCTGCCCAGATGGGAAGGGCAGGTGTGAAGGGGCACAGAATGGAAGAGAGGAAGGGCAGGCTAAACCTTACGAGGTCTCTTTGAAGTGATAGTCCCATTCGCCGTTCATGAAGCATTGAGGTCCAATTCGGAGCCCGGCTCCCGACACTGAAAGGCAATAGATGGCGCCAAGCACCCCGAACGCAGAGGAGAAGACTGAGCGAAGCATCTGGATGCGGTGTGCAAAGTGAGGTGAGTAGGGCCGCAACCTCCCCACTTGTCCCACCGCGCCTAGCTCTAGCCCCCACGTTACCGAGTTCTTCTCCAGTCAAGTGTAAAATACATTTCCCGTCAAATCCGGAGCTAGAAGTTAGGCTAACCCTAGGAGCCAGAGGCCACGGAGGTTCTTGGGGGTTGTAGTACCATATGGCCAGGCACGTTGAGACCTAGAATTTACCGGTGGGAGGGAGTGGCGAAGCGGGGCCTGGGATTCTGCAGTGGAGTTCTTGTAGCTAGAAATTTTGTAGGGAGTGCTCTGCGAGGACAGGGTCAGAGACCAAGTCTCAACTTCCTTCTTAATTTGGATCTTACCCTGCAGCGATTTCCACAGCAGCCTGCACCACAGCAGCCCTTGCCCCCTGCGCGAACAGCTGCAATTCCCGGACACAGTACCTGGGGGACAAAAGTCAGGGTGATAGCATGTCCCCACAACTCTCACTCCCACCCCACCCTCTGGATCCACATAGCCACTTCATATCAGTGTTTGCCTCCTGGGGGAGACTGCTGTGATGTCCTCAACCCTTTGGACTATGGGGAGACTTTATCTCTACTCCTGGAGCTGTTGGGCTTTACATAAATAATGTATCATTGTTTATGTGCCTACTTTATCTCTGTCCAGATTGCAGCTTCCTGAAGGGTAGGGTCCAACATCACATTCACCATAAATCTTAGCGCTTAGTAGGTACCCAACTGAGTGAGAGTCGGGAGGCCTGAGTTCAAGGCCAAGCCTGCACTACTTCACACTCTTTGAATTGATTCATCTCTCTCTGTCTCAGTTTTGTCCTATGTAAAATGAGTCTGCAAGAGGTACTTCACAGAGCTGGTCTCAGGATTCAGTGAGATAACAAGCTGACTTGGTTTGAAGACTGGCTCAGAGTAAATGCTCAGAAACTGTAAGTTCCCCCAGTAGCAGGAAGAAATGGTGGTGCTGGAATGGTGGTGAATTGGGATCATGGAAAAGTGTGGAAGAGTTATGCTAGTGGATGCTCTGATGTGCAGTGTAGGATAGCCTGAGATTCAGCTCGGGGTCTGTTCTTTTCTCCTTGTAGCCTTCCTGGCAAAGCCTATCACCTCCGAAGGAATCAGCTGTTCCCGCTGCCGATAGTCACCTCCAAAATTGATCCCTCTAGATCCAAATCTAACTGTCTGAAGGATATGGTCACTTGAATGTCTTAGTTTTAGCTCAAATCCAGTCAGCTTCATGCTGACCTCAAACTATTCCCCCTAATCCATCTCCCTTTGACTTTCTTGTCTCCATCAGTGGAAAAAAATCATCCGGTCTAGAAAACTTTAATCCTATACCTAGCCAGACCTCAAGTCTTCTTTATTTTTCTTTAAGAGACTCCTGAATCTGTCAGTTCTTTTTTCTTCTTCCCCACGTTCAATCTCAATCACCTCCAAGAAGGATGATGTTCTCAGCCTCCTCACTGGATTCTCATAGCTCTTGCCCATGGCACTCCACCATCTAACCTAGCTGCCACAATCAGATTAAATACAGCTCAACTGATCTCCTCTCAGCTCAAATCCTTTAGGATGGGTTCACAGAGTAGCCCATTATGACTGAACTCTGCAGTGCATTCAAGGCTCCTCACTTAGGCTCCAGCCTTGTCTTTATCTTTGTTTTACCAGGCCAGGTTCTGTGCCCTTCTCCCATCTCTGGAATTCCACAGCTGTCTTGCTCTTTGCTTCCCTACATGTCTTGTCGGGCACACACCATACAAGACAGCATTTTGTTCTTCTCCAGGAAGGGACTGAGAGTTTTAGTTCTATTTTCTCATCCACAGCAACCTCAGAGAAACACCCGCTGAGTTGAACTGACTTTGCCAGTGGACACTCCCCTCTCTTCCTGTCTCAAGGCAGGGCCAGGGCCAGTGTTGACCCTCTCCTTACTCTCTGTTTAGATCACTTACTGAGAGTCTCCTGGATCCAAACACATTTAGAATTGCCTTTTTTTTTTTTGAGACAAAATCTTACTCTGTTGCCCTGGGCAGAGTGCTATGGCATTATAGATCCCAGCAACCTCAAACTCTTGGGCTCAAATGATTCTCTTGTCTCAGCCTCTCAAGTAGCTGGGACTACAGGCGCCCACCACAATGCCTGGCTAGTTTTTCTATTTTTAGTAGAGATGGGAGTCTTTCTTTGCTCAAGCTGGTCTTGAACTCCTGAGCTCAGGTAATCCACCAGCCTCGGTCTCCCAGAGTGCTAAAATTACAGGTGTAAGCCACTGCTCCTGGCCTAGGATTGCCTTTTGAATTTACCAATTTTGAATAACCTACCTATCTGAGATTTTTACTCTTTTGGTTAAAGTGTTTGCTTTCCTTTGTGGTCTGAGTTTCTCTCTGTCTTGCTTGCCGCCATCTAACGGTCTTGACAAAAAAAGGGTCATTGGAAATGCCGGAGGAAACAATGAGTTTATAGCTCAAATCTGCTTTCTTTTCTCTGCCCCCGCCCCTGGCCTAGTCCAAGGCTCTCTCATTTCTCTTGGACAACTGCAGTGACCTTAGTTTGGTCTTGCTGTATCTGTTATTGACATCCTACTGTCTACTTTCCACACAAAGGCCAGAGGGTTCTTCTTCAGTCCAGTGGGGTGTGGAGCAACCAGAATTCCACTGTGCTGATGGGAATGAAACTGGTACAAGAACTATAGAAATCTGTTTTACTATCTATTAGTGCTGAATATTTACACTAAGAATCAGCAATTTTACTCTGAAGCATATATCCAATAGAAATGCACACATATATTTACCTAAAGGCATCTACAAGAATGTTTACAACAGAATTATTTGTAATATAGCCAAACTGGATACCATCTAAATGTCCTTCAATGGTAGAATATTTAAATAAAATTGAAATATATTCACACAATAGAATGCATAAGAAACAAAAAATTAAGCCAGGCGTGGTGGCTCACCCTGTATTCTTAGCACTCTGGGAGACAGATGTGGGTGGACTGCCTGAGCTCAGGAGTTGGAAATGAGCCTGAGCAAGAGTAGGACCCCATCTCTAAAAATAGCCAAGCAGCTTCATGCCTGTAGCTCAGCACTAGGACATCGGCCACATACACCGGGGCTGGCCAGTTTGAATCCAGCCTAGGCCAAACAACAATGACAACTCCAACCAAAAAATAGCCAGGCATTGTGGTGGGCACCTGTAGTCTCAGCTACTTGGGAGGCTGAGGCAAGAGAATCACTTATGCCCAAGAGTTTGAGGTTGCTGTGAGCTATGATGCCATGGCACTTTACCCAGGGCAACATAGTGAGACTCTGTCTCAAAAAACAAAACAAAAGCCAGAATATTAAAAAATAAATAAATAAAAATAGCCAAGTGGTTGTGGTGGGCATCTGTAGTCCTAGCTACTTGGGAGGCTGAAGCAGAAGAATCAGAGCCCAGGAGTTTGAAATTGTTGTGAGCTATGATGCCATGGTTCTCTACTAAGAGTGACAAAGTGAGACTGTTACACACATACACACAAATAATAATAAAACAACAGGTCTACAGCTATACCTACTGATATGGATGCCTTTCACAAGCCTACTGTTGAGTTAAAGAAGGCACAGACAGATCAGTACGATTGGAGATCGTATGATTCCATTCATACATACATGTAAAGTACTAACTAGGCCAAACTAATCTATGGGGTTTGAAGACAGACTAGTCATTACTTTCATTCCTGGGGGGCCGTGAGTGGTGAGAGGTATGTCTGGGATTTTGGTAATGATTTTTTTATTGGTCTGGGTTCAGAGTACATGGGTGTGTTCGCTTTGTAAAAATTCATTCAGCTCTTTACTAAGCATTGAGCACTTGTTGGTATGACTTAAATAAAAATTTGTAAAATGTCATAATTACCCCCTGAGGATTTCAAGGGTGTACACACTCTATCTAGTCTCTGTTCTCCTCAGACATCTTATTAAACCTCATCTGCACTGGCTGCCTGTCCAATCCTCGGAGATGAGGAGCCTGTTCTCATCTTGGGCTTTGTATTTCCAAGCTCTCCCCTCCCCCCGTTGCGACACTCACACCTTCTTTTTATCATTTGGGTCTCAGTTCAGATATCACTTCATAGAAGCCTTCCCTGAAAATGCTATAAAAATTGGCTTCCCTCTCCTTGCCTAGGAACTCTTTATGATAGCACCCTGCTTAATTTTTTGATGGTACCTACTCTCCTATCTGAGATCATCTTGTTATTTTTTTACTTCATTCATTCAGTGACTGTTAATTGAGTGCCTGCTAAGTGCTAAGCACTGGTCTAGGCACCAGGCACATAGCAGCCAACCTTGCTCCCATGGGGCTTGCAGTCTTGCTTCCTTGATACCAGTTGCTTCATCAATGGGAACACAAGCTTCAGGGAGAGGAGAGACCCTGTCTGTGTCCCCATGGCATAGGGTAGTGACTCTGGACACAGAAGTGGAGGAGGGCAGCTGTGAATGGGTGTGTTGGGAGGGCAGCCGAGGACAGCCTCTCCTGAATGAACTGGGTAGATTGGGCAGATAGCGGGGGGTGAGGTGGGATGAAGGTAGTTTAGGCTAGGGAAGGGGCAGTATGACCCTGGGTAGAGGAGTGTGACATCTCAGAAAGAGTTGTGTTCAGAGGGTTGGAGTAGAGTTCAACAGTCACGAATCCATGCAGGAGGAGGGAGTAGGAGAAAAGAAGATTGTTGGTTAAAGGAGAAGTGTCCCTGTCTAGCTAAGAGGCATGACCAGCAAAAGGGATGAAGGTGAGAACTTTCCTGGAGAAAGTCATTAGTCAACTCTCTGAAGAAATGGAAAACTAATCCCATGAAGATATTAAACTAGGTTGGTCATTCAAAATTTCCCATAAATGGGGAAGGAGTTGGAAGACAAGGGTTAGGAAGTCTGGAAATCAATCTCCTTTTTCGATTCTTCTCCTGACAGATCCTAGTCTCCAGGAAGACTTGGGGACTCCTTCTCTGCCATACTGACCTAGGTGCTGAGTTTATCCTTTGCATCCAGCACAGAGTGGGCACCCAGAAACATGGGCTGAGCGTCAACATATGTGAAGGTGGGGGAGGGTGACATGGAGATAATAGGTAGAGTGACTAATCTGTGATGTCACTCCCTGGCTTCAGACCTTTTCTCTCTTTTCTTTTCTTTTCTTTTCTTTTCTTTTCTT